CAGAACACCAAACCCTAGCCGCCATATCCGTTTTTGAGCTAGATCTTGCCTTGTAGAGTGCACTAAAGCTTGGAGAAGGAAGAAAAGCCTTGGAGGTGCAAGAAGGGACTGTAGATTCGAGATTGAGAAGACATTTCAGACCAGTTGGAGGTAATAAGCTGTTGCTTGGACTCCCTTTGCACCTAGATCTATTCTTATATGTGAGTTTTGGTCATTTTTAGTATGATATGTAACCAATCCGAGTTGGAGGTTCAGATCTGAGGTTGCTACCTCAGATCCATGTTTGTTTTGGTCTTGAATCCCCTAAAGTATCAGCCCTTGGTATGTTGAAGAAGTATGTTTGCCATAAACCCGAGTTTAGGGTGTTTTGAGCCTAGATCTCTTAATCTACACGTAAAGTTTGCCACTTTACGTGGGGAATAGTCCCTAGAAGTATGGATCTATGAGTTGGAAACTCTGTTTGGCTCGAAAAGCCACTGCATGGATTGAGGACTGGATAGACTCGGCGAGTAGCTTGAAGATGAGGAGGAACTCGACGAGTAGGATGAACAACTCGTCGAGTCGGATGAAGTTAGGCATGGACTCGGCGAGTTGGATGAGCAACTCGACGAGTTGGTTGAAGATTGTCTAGGACTCGACGAGTCTGTTCTTGGACTCGGCGAGTCAGATCGCGAAACCCTAAACCCTTTGAGTTGAGACTCGAATCAGTGAGTCGGGTGGTGACTCAGCGAGTTGGACAGGACAGGACTTGGACCTAGTTGGACTCGGCGAGTCATGGATTGACTCGGCGAGTCGAGTCGCGAATAAGAAAGACCCAGAGCATATGAACTCGGCGAGTCAGTCACAAATAGACTCGGCGAGTAGGGTTGACCCGGAAGGTTGACTTTGACAGGATTTTAACCTTGACCAGAATTGACGTAGTGACCTTTGGAGGTCAGTTGGACTAAGTGTTATATTGATATTGGTAGCTTGAGGAGCTAGTGGAGCAGCAGTCGAAGTCAGAGGTCAGGTAGCAGTCAAAAGGATTAGCAGCAGCAGTTCAGCAGCATCAGGTGAGTTTCCTTCCAGTAGGGATGGGTCTAAGGCCACAATGCCGGCCCGTTCAGTTAGCAGTAGTTTCCGGACTTCGGTCCGATGCAGTAGTTAGTATGTTTGATGCCTTCGTGGCTCAGACAGGATTTATGTGCTATGTGTTATGTGTTATGTGTATGTGTTCCGGGCTACGGCCCGATGTAGTATGCAGTATATGTGTTCATGCTAGTTGATATGTTATGCTATGCTATGATTCAGTCAGTTCCGGACTTCGGTCCGATGCAGGGGGCAAGGCCCTAGTTAGCCCAGACTTCGGTCCGATGCAGGGGACAAGGTCCCAGTCAGTTCCGGACTTCAGTCCGATGCAGGGGACAAGGTCCCAGTCAGTTTCCGGACTTCGGTCCGATGTAGGGGGCAAGGCCCCAGTTAGTCCGGACATTGGTCCGATGCAGTGGGCAAGGCCCAGTATGTGCTTTATATGTTGTTGTATGGTATGTGTTAGATTGGGGGAGCTCACTAAGCTTCGTGCTTACGGTTTTCAGTTTTGGTTTCAGGTACTCAGTTTTCAAAAGAGGAGCTCGGGGAGATTGCAGTGCACACACCATAGTCAGTTAGCCTGTGAATGTTTGACTCTGATAATGATATTATGTTTTGAATTAATACTCGAGAATTTATGTTATGACTTATGATACAGTTTTTATAAATATGATTCTAGTAATGCTTTTAAATAAATTTTTTGGTCGTGATTTTTGGGTCGTTTCAGTATGTGGTAACCATACCCCTTACTAGCTTAAGGGTCCAAATATAAGATTACTAGGTGTGAGCAACATGTTATTACATGTTACCACACCCAAAGTATCCACCTCATCATTCTAGTCATAATTTTGTGTTATAACATCAAAAGTGGAAATAGACAACATCAAATAACATGGAATAACATATACTATTATTTATTTATTTATTTATTTTGATGTTTTTAATTTCTATTATTCTAATTTGTTTTATTTACTTCTTATATTTCCAATTTGCTTAATTTTTTATTTAGGTCATATATCTATAAAAACATATAAATTAATAAAACATAATTTCATTAGATAGTAAATTAAAAATACCATACAAACTTAAAAAAACATTACAAAGCAATAAAAAAACATTGAATAGAAAACACATGATAGTCGTAATAGTTAAAAAAACATTGATAAACTACTCGTCGTTCAAATATTTGCTCTCGATCTTTGCTTTCATCCTGCGTATCACTTTAGCTCGTCTCGGTGGCAAATTTTCTTCGTTTGTCGTAAGAATTGCCAAATCCTTTGATATGCGATCTTGTTCGGCTTCTTGACGAAGGAAATCCAAATGCTCCCGTTGCAATTCATATCTTTTATTTGCGATTTCAGTGTGGGCGTCGATTTTTTTTTTTCTCATTTCCTCGTGCTCTCGAAGCCGACTTTCATTCTCCTCCGCATGTCGTTGAGCGCTTCGCTTTGTCGCGCTCCATCGGTCGTCGTGGCGGAGAGATTTCATCGATGTCGCCAAACTCGTCTGGGATCTCATCGTTGTCCACGTTGAGGTCGATGTTTGTGTGTCGTCGGAAATGTCAACCGAACCTTAACCATGAGACCTCTTTGATTGTTGTTCCGATGATGTTAGCGTTTTCATCCATTTTGGATATTTCCTCACGATCTCCCAAACTTTTTCATACTCAAATACGTGACCCATTTGCACGTGATATTCATCCCTCGCGACCCTAAACACATCGAACTCATTGGTACCACTTTGATGTTGCGAAGAAAGTTTATTGTATATGAAATTGAATTTGGTGTACTTTCGACTAATTTGAGTCCATTTGCCACTAAGAATATCGTGATTGCTATATGTGTCATTCTTGTTCAAAATTGTGCGGAATTTGACAATCACGACTTCTCAAAAAGCAACTCTCCTCATATCGTTCCCCAAAGTTGGTTGTTTTGAAGTCCCTCACCAATCCACTGCCAACGCATGTTCTTCCTCCGGTGTCCACCATGTTGGAGGTGCTTCTGTTTGCTCCACCCCGACAACGACCTCTTTCCCTTTCTTTGTTGATCTCCCTTTTTTCCCGATGCTTTTTGACTACCCCTGGCTTGCGTCTCGACAACCGTTTCTTGCATGGGTGGAGATCGCGTGACTGTTTGTCGCATGAGACCGAATGTGTTAAAAAGGTTTTGTTGAATGTTTTCATTTTCTTGCATAAAAGGCGAGGTAGAGAATTGTAGTGGGGTAAGTCGGGATTGAAAGAATTGTCGGAATATGGAAGTTGTGATGCGTTTTGGGAGTTTAGAAGGTTCATGTATCCCTCGTATCCCACAAAACCTAACGGAACAAATGTGTTTGTGTTCGGAGGAGGAGTATTCGGGTTTTGATCCATAATGGTTTTTTGTGTTTTGAATGATTAAAGAAATATATATATATATATATATATATATATATATATATATATATATATATATATATATATATATATATATATATATATATAGAGAGAGAGAGAGAGAGAGAGAGAGAGAGAGAGAATTAGAAGTGTAGAATAAGGTATATATGTATTGATATAGTTTAAAAAAATTAATTAGTAATTTTTTTTTGAATTTACCGTTTTTAAACGGTAATATTACCGTTTTTCAACGGGTGTGAAAGTGAAACGGTCAAAAAATTACACACTAGAATCCGTTACTATGGTAACGCATCATCGCATAACACCTCATAACAGGGGATGAGACAATGTTCCGGCGTTATGGTGCCGTTATGGGTGCTGCCACTTCAGCGTAACGCCGTATGGCGTTGTCCATATCGCACGGTCTAAACGAAATTAAAATGGTTTTATGATTGACGAGTATCAAATTGCCAACGGTAAAACTTTATAATAACTTAAACAAAAACTCATGGTCAACATACTTGGGCTTATTTTAGGTTTATATTTTATAGTAATAGGACAAGGAGTCGGTCGTTAGGGTTGTACGTGCAACAATTTGTAGCAACAGGGACCATACGCTCCAAAATTCCTTATAAGGACTACATTGGTCTTTTATGCAAACTATATAGGCCATTTATGTAATTCTGTCTATAAATTAAAATTAGTTGTAAATACTTTCAAAATACAAAAATATCAAATATTATAAAATATTGCGGTTATTATCATTTTTTTAAACTTAACTACATAGGTGTAAATTTTATCAAGTAACGTTTTTATATTCACATTGTAATGTTTCGATTTATTTTAATTATAATGTCAAGTAATATTTTTTTCTTCAAAAATATAATATATGTTAGTAAATAATAAATTATAGAGTAGGAGTGAGCTTATACAAACATTTAAGATATATAAAAGTTGAATTAATTATTATTTAAAAAAAAAATTAAACTATTTGATAAAAACTTTGTCAAAAAAAAAAAAATAATAATAAATAAATAACATGACCTTGTCTTCTAGAAGATCAACTGTCTTTTATACTCCATTTTTACTAACATTTGACAAACCTGTTTATATGCAATTACCAGTAATATATTTTGTGATATTAGCCAAACACTTCTATTAAAGAAAGAAAAAAAAAAGTTATTTGTTTTTAAACTCGAATCCAAACGCCCCTGATTGTAGAAATTGTAGTATGACCTTGTCTTCTAGAAGACCGCTCGTCGTTTAGACTCTATTTTTGACCACCAGGGCTAATTGTTTATAAGATCCCAGCTACCCCCTGACAATATTTGTATTATCATTATAGTACCCCGATAATTCCTAGATATAACAATTATAGTCATAAAGCGTGCGAATATTTCTGCTTTTCTTTAATTTTATCTCCTTAGATGAAAAGATCAAGACACTAGGGATTAGGATATAAACTGTCCAAAATTATAAGGTTGTTTTTGAAACATAAGCCAGGATTGGATGAATTAGATTGAAATAAATTGAATGTGATGTTTCTTTTAAAGAACACTTACTTTTGAAACAAATAAACGGTCGTCATATTTTAACTCGTGCTACTTAACAAACAAGGCCAAGGAGAGAGAAAGGGGTGTTTAATGTAAACCTGAAAAACTTTAGGGGCATTTTAACAAAATCTCGGCAGGTAAGGTCCTCCTCCGATGGTATGTATTATTACGATTGGCTTAGCAATTAACATTTAGCACCCCAAGCTGAGTGTTAGGTGAGGTTTAATCCTTTACCCTTCACATTACATTTTGTGTAAATTTCCCTCTATTCAATCCATTTCACAAACTTCAGTCAGTCGCTAAGATCATGGCTTGGATGACACGATTTCTCACAGCGGTTGCCTTCTTGGCAATCGGAGTCATATTTTCGCCGGAAACGTTCGGATCAAAATCAGCAAAGATCACATCGTTCGTCAAACTTGCACATCTCCTATGTTTCTCCACCGCCTGGGGCGCAGCTCTTTGGGTCACCTTCATCGGCGGCATCATCATGTTCAAGTAAATAAATACTCCTTCTTCTCGATTTGATTGAAACTTGCTCATGAAAAGTTTAGGTCCCCAAACTTCGTTTTTATGTTCATATTGTATTGAAATTTTACATGAGCGTGTGCCCTAGCTCGGAGTCGACCTTAGGTTTTCGAAATTAATAACTTAAAGATCAATTTCCATAGGAATTTGCCAAGGCATCAGTTTGGGAATCTGCAAAGCAAGATGTTTCCGGCCTACTTTATGATGGTTGGGATATGCTGTGCGGTGACTGTGGGTTGTTTTGGTTATACACATCCATGGAAGTCTTCATCAACTGCTGAGAAGTATCAGCTTGGGTTTTTGGTCTCTGCTTTTGTCTTCAATCTCACCAATCTTTTTGTCTTTACTCCCATGACCATTGAGGTAAGTAACTTCAACTATCATTTCATGCCTATAACCTAATCTCAATAGCACCTTACCTTTCGGTATGTTATGATATAGCTGTAGCTGGAGCCACTGGCATATTACTATATTAGTCCTCATGCATTTAGCTCTATGTTTAAATTTTAATGTTCTTCTTTAAAGGAAATTTGCTTTAGTGACATTGACAAATCCATCATCATCATCACACGCTGACACATTAAGTGATAGATGTAGACAAATGTAGATCGAAAGGCTATTGTTTTCTGAGAGACAAATTTGTGGATGCAGATGATGAAACAAAGGCACAAGCTGGAGAGAGAGTCAAACATTGGAGAAGAAATTGGGTGGACAAAGAACAAGGAAGTTGCAAAGGTCAACCCAAAGCTAGCAGCAATGAACAAGAAGTTTGGGATGATTCATGGACTCTCATCTCTAGCTAACATCATGTCTTTTGGTAGTCTTGCTATGCATTCATGGTATTTAGCAGCCAAAATTGATCTCTAGATCCACCCTTCCCCATGACTTTTAATAATAATAATAATAATAAATATATGTATCATTTTCTTGATTTGGATCGTTACCATGTATTATGATATGTTATAAAAGAAGAGCTTTAGCAGCTGTGTATTTTAGTTTTAAACTCCTAATCTTTGATGTGTATAATCATGGTTGTATCTGAAAAATGAAATTGTTACATGAGAAGATAAAAGAGTTGGAATATAACTAGATGAATATCCAATTTTCACACGATATGTTCTTGTCAATAATGAAGTGTAACATATGCTCGTGAATTTTTCTCAATAATAAACTTTGGTTTTGTGGAAACAAATTTTGTTATATGGACCTACATGAAAATACAAAATAAACAAATGACAAGAACAAAAATGAAGGAGAAACAAAACTTGAACCTTGAAACTAAAATTCCCATCTTATCCTTGAAAACCCTAAAATACTACTACAAATTTAAAAAAAATACTTTTTCTACTCGGTTATTTAGAGTCATGAATCATTTTCAGAAATTGAATCGAGTTCACAAGTTGAGTCGATTTCATAAACTAAATCCATTTTGGTCTTTGACTTGCTTCTTCTCAGTAGGTTTTTTCTTCTATGTTCGTCATCATTGGTTCTTCAAAATGATTGAACCACTAACTCCACAAACTAGGAGTTATGATCTAACCTTTAGGTCATCTTCGATGTATTGAACTCAAATGAGTTCAATGGATTGTCACATGTACATTCCACTCACAATACAATTTTACCTATTAAACTTGACACTCCATTAAACCCAATACAATTTAATGGATTGCCACATCATTTATATGTGTGTGAGAGGAGAGAGAGTGTGGAGTTCAATCCCCATTGAACTCCCCATTCTATTGAGTGCTATGTCATTAACCCACAATCGGGATTTTGAGTTTAATGGGATTAAACTCTCCATTAAACTCCCCGTTAAACTACCATTGAAGATGGTCACCCATTTGAAATTGGTATCCTGATAAATAAGTAATCAATCATAATGTCAGTGGAACTGATCAATGTATACTTAAGTATTAAAAAAAAATGAGAATTTCATATATACTTATTTAAACGTCAAAATATCATATTTGTCCAACTTAATTTCTCAATATCATATTTACTCTTTATAAACCTTCAAAATATCATATTTGCTCAAATCCTTTTTAATAATGTTTTTAATATTTTATAATCATTCTTTATACCTTAGAATTATTATAATAATTAAAATTTTTAACCATATTATCTTTACGTCTATGATAATGGAATGTGAACTTTTAAATTATTGGAATGTCGCCCTTTTAACAAACAAAAATATTCATCTTCAACTCTCTTTATGAAATTTATATTTTGATTGTTTAGTTTTTGGTGTTGTTGATTATTATAATGTTATAGATGGATGATATATTAGATATTATCATTGATATTTTGATGTTTAAAAAGTATTATTTTGATATTTAAGAAGGACATATATGATATTTTGATGTTTAAAAAGGACATATATATGATATTTTGAAATTTTATGAAGGATAAATATGATATTTAAATTTTTTATGAAAGGTAAATATGATATTTAAAAATTAAGGTGGATAAATATGATATTTTGATGTTTAAAAAAATCATATTGAAAAAAAAAAAAAGAAAAGAAAGCCAGAGATATCGGATATATAGTATACTAATTCACAACTCTCAAGTGATTGTACTCTTTTAATTGAAAATTTGAAGTTCCTACTCTGTAAAACTTAACCCTAATTGAGCCTAATATCTGCTTCCATATATTCTGATGACACAACGAAATTTGGTTTGCCTCCTATATCCACTTTACATGGTTCGCTTCAGGCCACGTAACCCATCTCCGTAACGATGCAAACGTATCTTTTTTCCCTCTTTTATACCGTTTCACATCCAAAGACCGATGGATCCACTCATATAAAAAAACCCTGATCAATGATTGATGTTACTGACTTCCTGAATACGGAAAATCGACTACATCATACACACAACAAAACCCTAATTCATCTCTGTCGACTGAGGATTGATTCATCATCTTCCCAGATTCTTCAATGAAGGTTAGACTTTTGCTATATATATTTAATGTCACTTTTCCGTTTCCGTTAAACTGTTAAAGGATTGTTCCTCTTGTTCTGACATGTCAATAGTCGATCATGTGTCAAACATGATATGAATGATGTTCCAAAATTGACATATTGAAAAAAAACCAAGATTATCGAGTTAAAATAACTGGCCAAATGCAAATCAACCCCCAACAACAAAATAAAACCCACATGAGAAGGACAAAATGTAAACCCAATGACATTTTCATAACAAATACTTCAACTGAGCAAATCACATACTTACACAACAGCTTCCCTACTTATTTCTCAATCACCCATTTTCACCAAAATCCTCCATTCTACTCCCTGGCACATAATGAACAGAATAACTAATAACTTACAATCACGGTCAATATTTCAATCAAATGCTAGCACCTTCAACAATTGAAACAACCTTCACAAGATAACATGATAGCTTGAATAAGTATTATACTTAGGGGTGTTTGGATAGGAAAAAAAGAGGTGCTTATTGCTTATTCCCACAATAAGCTAACTTTGAGGGTTTGCATAAAATCCAGCTTATTAAGCTAAATAAGCTAATTTTAATAAGCATCTCTCCCCATTCTTATTGCTTATTGCTTATTCTACCACAAATAAGCTATAAGCAATAAGCTAATAAACTAATCTAAACACCCCCTTAATATTCTTGTGAAGATAAGGGGTACTTACTGGTTACCAAGTTTGAAATCTATTCTACTCAGCCACTCGAAAAATATCAAAAACCTTTTGACACCCAATTTGTTATTTGATCATTTTATTGACTTTTAAAAAAAGGTTTCATTGGGAAGCGGTAATTTTGGTCAAAAAATTGGCGAAATTCCAATATATAGTAATCAACTTCCATTAGCGGTTATTTGTATAACCCTTTTCCTTATACTGTAAATTGTTTTGAATATATGGCTTTGATGATTTTGGGGCTTTTATTTAGCCAGAGAGGATTTCACTTAAGGTAAGGGATGATAAAACTCACGAATTTGAAAGAATGTTGCAAGATAATGTCTTTTTACCTGGGTATCTGAAAACGTGAGTCTCCTATAGTTGTTTTTGGTCTTGTAATTTAGCCAATATTAATTTTCCAGCATCATTATTCCACAGTAAAACCCATTACAAATTTAAATTATATATAATTATGTATGAAGTACATTAGTTGCTAAAAATTCCTTTCACCATGCTACAATCATCCCACATATGCCATAAGAATAAAAGAAAAAGACCATTCTCTCCATACTACTCTGTATTTTCAAATAGCCGAGTATGGGTAGAATTTAATGAGATTCTACCTTCATTTTCGAAATTTCATACAACTTTGCTCTTACATTGATGATATAGTTGTTAAGCCTTCATAGTGTTACACATATCATTCTTAATGATTATACAAAAGAGAATCTTGGAGTAACTACAACACCATCACCAATAGTAGTCATATCGAAAAATAATACGAAGGACTTATATTACAAAAAAGTTCAGTCATTAATCTATATCATGAAAGTTATAATAAAATTTGTGATAAGAGATTAAACCATCAAATGTAAGCTAATAAGTAACAAACTAACAACAACAGTTGATGTAAACATGAATTGAAGAGTGTAAAAAAGAGTTGATGTAAACATGAATTGAAGAGTGGAAAAAAGAGTGGCAAGTGTAATGATGTAATAGATAAGTTAGAAATGATTCATAATGCTTTTGGATATAAAAAACAATACATAAGACAAACGATTATAAAATGGATATGAAATAACATAAAAAAGAAATTGACTACGAATATCCAATTCGTCAACAAAAAGGGAAGACTAAATGATACGATAGGAGAAAATCCAGCCAATTCAGATGAAATCATGATTGGAGAAAAACCAAAAATTAATAGGAGAATATATACAAATTTAAGTCCACCATATCAAATAACGTAAGGAAACAAGTGCACAATAGAAAAGGAAAGGAACACTTGCAACACATTATTTTATTTGCTGTCGTTCTTCCTGAAGTAATGTGTTGTTGGTATTGTGCACAATATAATTTTTTTTGTTGTTTAGAAGATCGTATTGTTTTATCCGGTAATGAACTTCGAGTTGTGATGCATGATTTGTAAAGGTATTTTGTGAATAATATAGTGAAAAATTGTTTTCATTTTCCTATAAAATGTTTTTGAAAAATGGAACCGAGTTTTCATTGAAAATTTTGGAAAACGCGTTTGGTTGAAACTAATGGCCTTTTCATTTTTCCCTTTTAGAAAATTAGAAGACTAGTTTGGTTGTATATTTTCTATCACTTTTCATTTTTTTTTTTTTTTTTTTTTTTGTTTTTGTTTTTATAGATATTACAATATTAAACACATGTCATCAAAATATGAAACAAAGTTTTAATATAAGATTATCAACATAAACTTTAACGTATAATTAAAATAAATATAAAAAGAACATTTTCAAATAAGTCAATTTTATTAATATTATGATATTAAGATCGCAAACATCTTTGATGATGTTGTTGGGGTGGGTGGGGATGAGGATATAGGGGGGGGGGGACATAAGGATTGGGGTGGGATGGGATGGCTATGCGTGGAGGTGAGATGTGGGGTGAGGGTAGGATGGGGGTAGGGCAGCTCAACCGGTTTGAGGGCTTTAAGCAAACCAACAATTTGAGACCTTTTGGCATTTACTATATGTAATTTTATAAACCCTGATTCAGTAGTAATGTACTACACATTTAGTTCTGAACCCAATTCAATGGGATGGCTATGCGTGGAGGTGAGATGTGGGGTGAGGGTAGGATGGGGGTGGGGCAACTCAACCGGTTTGAGGGCTTTAAGCAAACCAACAATTTGAGGCCTTTTGGCATTTACTATATGTAATTTTATAAACCCTGATTCAATAGTAATGTACTACACATTTAGTTCCGAACCTAATTCAATGGTAATGCACTACACATTTAGTTCAAAGATAGATGTTCCTTCATAGAACAAGAAGAACATCAGGTTTACACCATATGGTTGAAATTTGAACATATTGTCATACAAACTAGACTACTAGAGCATCCACAAAAGTTATAGCCACATCATAATTCATAAATGAAAAAAACTTAACAAATGATCCACCACAGTGTTCAATTGATATTACAGGTTGGTAATGATTGTTTCTGCCGAGAATGGAGAATCAGAGAAAGAGAAGCAGATAAGGAAGATTGGAAGAAGAATTGGCAGTCGCTTGGTTGATGTTTTCTTTTGTGGCGTTTGCGAATACCGAACGAAGAATCACTAATGGATATTTGGGTTAAGTGGGGTCCTAAACCCTTGCTTAATTTTTATTGAAGTAAAGTCGGCCCTCGGATGTATGTAGGGTGGTGGTGGCTGGCGGTGAGGTAGATGTGGGGATTGATGTAGGATGAGTGTGAGTGTGGTATTGGGTTGAGGGTGTAAGTGAGGGATGGATGTGTTATACTTATAAGGTTTATATTTTAGAAAAATTTAGAAAATGAAATGTAAGAAAAACATTAAAAACCACCTTTCCAATTTACATTTAATTTGGGAAAATGAAAATTTTCATTTCAAACTTTGAAAAACTGAAATCAAACCTGTTTTTAAAATTTTCTATAACCAAAACACATAATTTTTTTTTTAATTAAAACATTAATGGGAAAATCCTAAATTGATAAAATTAAGTTGATTTCAGAGATTTTGCATTAAGCGAGAATTTTTATTGTACTGAATTTTCAATAAAATTCATAAACTATAAATTGATTGATATAAACAAAGGTTATAAGTGGACGTTACTTTGAAATAAATGAATGCAAACCTTGAAAAGTGTTGTCTCTTAAAACCTAAACTAACTAGTAATGACTATTGTACTATAATAATAAGCTTATAGATTACAAATGGAAAATACATGAATATGGTCCAGAACATTTGTTTATATTTAATCATATAAGATATATTTAGTTTCAAATAAATACATCATCATTAAAATATAATTAGATTTATACATCATCATCATTAAAATATAATTAGATTTAATTATATAAGATAATTACCAAATGTGTGGATATTCTTTATTTATTTTAAAAGGTATCTAAGTGGGTTGTTAAAATTTTAAAAAACTTTTTGTTCAATGAATTTAAAGTTTTTGTTTAAAAAAAAACTTTTTCTTTCCTTCAACAGAAACTCCCAAGGTAATTTTTTTGACAAAATTGCAAAAATGGTCCCTGTGGTATGCAAATTTTTGGGGTTTTAATCAAAACAGTGATTTTTTTGGTTTCATAGTTCTTTTGGAGTGGTTTGTATGTGAAAATGGTCCCTCCGAAAATTGAAATGACTATAATACCCTTGGAGTATTTATTTTTCATTTTTCCTTCATTATTCTTAAATTTCAATATTTATTTATTTATTTTAACAATTAAAAAAATAATAGAGGATCTCTCTCTCTCTCTCTCTCTCTCTTTTTTCTTTCTTTCTCTCTCTCTCTCTCTGATGTTAATTCTTCTACAGTCGTTTCCCCAAGTCCAACAACATGGTATAGAGCCATTTGAGAGGGGATTTCAATCAAACAATGATTCAACGGTGAGGTTCTTGGTTGGGCTTCTAAAGTGGGTGAAGGAAATAGTCGGGTGACAGATTCGATTTCTATTTCACAAGTGATTATCGATTAAGAAGACTGCAGAAACTCAAGTATAGTGTGCGATTTCTATGGCTCCTTCGAAATTCAATTGGGCGATTAAAGACAAGTCCAATTTTGTTTTTTCTCCTTTAAATTGCCTATGTTTTATAGTTGTTTGGGTGCGTGGAATCTCTCTACGAACTGGTTCTGTATAGAGGTGGAGTTTTCATTGTGGCAGACCAAGTGTTTGACTAAAGTCCTCAAAGAAGAGGTTGTCGCCTTCGATGTTTGCTCCGGGGAAACACCCACTTCGGTGGTGGGTTCAGGCCAAGGAACGGAGAAGAAATGGAGGATGAAAGGGGGAAAGGCAACATCGATCGTAATAATCTTTAAGGGGGGGGGGGGTGGGGGGGGGGGGGTTCATGAGATTCAATTTTGCTCCACAGAAAAAATCTTCAAAGAAAGAGCAAAAAACTCACTGGAAGTAGTTGCAGGTTTTAGAGTGGAATCCACAATCTGGGGCTTGAACACGTCAGTTAATTGAAGCCCTTTTCTTATCACATCGCCATTGAAGATTAGCTTGGACTTTACTTTGCTTCAGCTGCGCATTAAATCTTGATTTGAACTCCATTAGTGCAGTGATGGAAAATTTTAAGGTATCTTGAAAACCCCAAGCCATGTATAAAGAATAGCACATCAATTTAGGGGACAAGGCATACAGTTGTATCAGATACTTTCATCGAATGTGTGTTTCAGTGTTTATGAGATCGACTGGGGATGTTCGACGATGGATTTGGGGGATAAAATCTTGAAGATGAAGTGGTCTGGGTTGGGTTGGGTTAAGTTATATAGAGAGAGAGAGGTGGGTCCTCTATTATTTTTTTAATTGTTAAAATAAACAAACAAATATTAAAATTTAAGAATAATAAAAGAAAAATGAAAAATAAATATCCAAGGTATTATAATCATTTTAATTTTCGAAGGAAGCATTTTCACATACAAACCAATCTAACAGGATTACGAAACCAAAAAAATCACTGTTTAAACTAAAACCCAAAAATTTTGCATACCAATTTTGTCAAAAAAAAATTTTGGTTCCAAGTTTTTTATGAAAGCTCAACAAACTAAATCAACACTCTAGTCCAACAGAAAGGTTAAAATTCCTCCCCTTTTTTCCTTCCAGATCATTCAGTTGAATAGACAACAACGGAGCTCCGATGTTGATTCTTTCCCGATGTACTCCATCGGCGCCTCTTATTCCCTTACAAAGACACCCATGTTGCCGCCTCTCGCGGACGATTAACTTCTTTTACTCGGAACTATTTCCAGTTAATCCATGCGGAAGCAGCCGGTTACGGTTACGGTGCATCACAACCAGAGCCGCGCTGACAGAATGGAGAGAGTATGAGGAAGCCGTTAAAGAGAAAGATCTTGGTCGAGCCCTTCGTTTCCTCCAGGAAATTCCAATTCCATTACAAGGTTTGGGAGAGCTGGAGTTGCAGAGGGATTGGCAAGTATTGGATACATGCTTAAACGCCGATGATATGAGGCTTGTTGGTACTGCTTATGCTTTTTTAAAGGACAAGGGCTTCTTGAATTATTTCGGAAAGTATCGCAGTATTGGTAATATTTCCTTACTATTTATTCCAGATTTGTTAATTGTTAATTGTTAATGTTATTATATTATCTCCGCTGTTCTTGTTCCGTTTACTTAGCTTTCTTTTTTCTCAACCCGCAGTTCTGGAGGGTCCGAGAGATGTTACACCAACCGTTTTGGAATCTTCAACTGGTTTAGAAGGTACCTTTTCACATGATCGATTAAAAAAAATAAATAAATCAGCATTGATTTATTTCTTTATTGTTGCAATTGATTCAACAGTTTCGAAACTTTCACCAAAGAAGTGGGGTCTTTCTAGAAGCTCTAGTGCTGTTCTGATCGCATGTTTTGCTGGATTATCATATCTGATAGACCATGGAATCGATCTGAGACCTCAACTGGCAGTAATATTGGGTTCAGCCATGGTCGACTCCATATTTCTTGGCGGGTCTTGTCTAGCCCAGATATCAAGTTATTGGCCTCCATACAAGAGGCGCATTCTTGTTCACGAAGCAGGACATCTTCTTGTTTGTGAGTCAATCGATTTGGGCATTCTATTGTTGGGATTGGATTATAGACAATAATGAATGACTAACTTGAACTTCCCGCAGCTTATCTTATGGGATGCCCCATTCGTGGAGTAATTTTGGATCCTATTGTTGCAATGCAGATGGGGATTCAAGGGCAGGTAATGCATAGCTTATTATTAAAAAAAAAAAAAAAAAAAAAAAGTTAAATTGGAAAATTGAGTGGTGTTAATTAGTGTGTGTGAATTGCATTGTAGGCAGGGACACAGTTTTGGGATGAGAACCTTCAAAACGAGCTTGCTGAGGGTCGACTCAGTGGCATTGCGTTTGACAGGTGGGTATTCTTTTCTTATGCTATTGCTGTGTGTGTAATTGACAAAATTTAATATTTTGTTGAGAGTTGAGATAGATACTGCATGGTGTTATTTGGTGGGATAGCAGCAGAAGCTCTTGTGTATGGAGAGGCTGAGGGGGGAGAGAATGATGAAAATCTATTTAGGAGCATTTGTTTGCTTTTGGAACCACCATTATCCGTTGCACAGGTAAGATTTTGGATCTTTTTAATTTTTTTTTTTTTTTTTATTTATTTAAAAATTCTAATTGTTGTTGTTGTGTTGAAATAGATGTCAAATCAAGCAAGGTGGTCGGTTTTGCAATCTTACAATCTGTTGAAATGGCATAAACATGCCCATCAAGCGGCTGTTAAAGCTCTGGAAAGCGGTGCCACACTTAGTATCGTCATCAGAAGCATTGAAGAAGCAATGGCTACCAACAACAGAGGATGATTTGTCTCACGAAAAGGGTTTTCACGTGCTCCCGATTGTTAATAATTAATTAATCTATTAGTCATTTATTTCAGATGGAAAATTCCACATAACATATATTATTTTTGTTTAAAATCAAATCAATCCATTTACAGTTTGTAAAGCTTATAGACAGACATATAACACAATAAAAATTTTCATTTGTTTAATGAATATTATATACTTAATTCTGTGAATATTATATACTTAATTTTGTCGATTGATCCTGAATTTGACCATAGGCCAACAACAGTCGTACAGTGTGGGGTTTCAAGCAATACACTAATGCTCATGAACACTTGATGATTATGATTTCGTATCATACATTAATTGTAAGTTAAGTTAAATCTATGTGATATGTGTGTTTTGAAAATGATTCTGTTCAATTTTCTTTTCACAGTTTGCTTCTTAAATGCACCAAAAAATGAACTCAGATTCTCTAGAATTGTGTGTTTTAAAATGTATTGCTGCTGTTACCACTTACTTTTGCAGAAATTACATACAAAAAAAATAGAGCTCTCGTTGGTTTGGTTTAGGCATTTCATCAAATGGGTGGCAGGCAGTCTGGAAGCAGCTTTAGCTGCTATATGAAAAATAGTGTAACCAAACTACAATTTCTCAATATTGAATGAATTAGACAATCTGCATTTTATTGCTAAGAACAAGATCATCTTTTTGAAAAGGTGAACTCACAAGGAAGGATTGAATGACATGAGTTGAAACATATATGTAAATTCATTGATAACTACTTCCTACTTTCATTTTACTTCATGTTATTATAGTATTGTACTTTGAAGCTATACCAATTACAGCAATCCACTTTCATTTTAAAGCACTTTCTAGATTTGTAGAAATTTTCAAAGTCTTTTTCAAGGGTAAGGTTGCAATGGGTTGATAATTAGCAAGACAAAAACGGTTGATTTGTTTTGATTCTAAATAGGCTTCTCAAACATAATGATGAAGAAGATAGGGGAAAAAATGGTCAACTTTTAGGAACTCAACAGCTGTGAGCTGACCCATTAAGTTAAAATGTCAGGGACTGAGAGTGACAAAACGATGTTTTAGGGACCGACAATTCAAAAAAAAAAATCAAACTGTTGAATATATCATATCCATACAATTTAACGAACCATAAGGACAAAAATGTAATTTACCCTATCAATTATTTGTTCATAATTGGAAAATTAAAAACCAAATTTCAGTATTAATAAAGATCTTGTTAAGTTACAAACTGGAGGAGAGGTGTCGATCCTTGTCCTTTGACATTCTATCAAGGAGATGCCAAACACTTTAAGCAATATTCAATTGTAGAACCCAAATTTCCATCCTCAGGACAAAGTGTTTTTTTGGGAGTGGAGTAATGATACAACTCTTCAATTTGGCCAACAACATCGACTAATTAGTACTTATTTATTTATGTTAGGTAACAGTTATCTTTATTTAAAACTAGGATATCTATTAGTATCTTCTATTTTGGATACAATTATCGGATAACGCTTATTTATAGGGTTTTGGTATCGTATTTTGATCATCATGAATAATGGTATTTGAATTTTAAACTCTTGGAAGATCCTCTATTTCTCGAATTACAGTGGGTTCGTATTAGTACACGATGAAGACAAAATAGAGATTACCATTGAAGATTGAGAAAATTCATTAGCTCAAATCTTGCTGCAAAACAAATCGTAACGATTTCGAAACCCCTAAAAAACCCAGTCAATGGCTAGTGGAAGATGTATTGGGTTAGAAATTCATTTATGATTTCCATGTAAGCATAAAAAATAACATTAATAATGCTATGTCATTTCCATTTTTGGTTCCGATGTATTATTTTGTGCTTTGATTAGAACATAAAATAATTTTATTGGACACAATAACAATATAATAATTTTTCAGATATTTGAGGTTAATATGCTATATTTTTCTAAAGCCATATTGACTAAAGGCGTGTTTGGCAAAATTAATTGTTAGCTGGTAGTGTGTAGTCGGTAACGTGTAGCCGGTAACATATAGTTGGTAGCGGATAACTGGTAGCTGGAAGTTGTAACTTTTATTTATTATATGTGTGTTTGACATAAATAGCTGGAAGCTTTTGAAATATATAAAATTACATAAGGACACCTGTTTAAAAAATAAATATATAAACATATTTTTAAGGCAATTATAGAAATTGATTTCAAAAGCTTAGTAGCGTCTTGTTAAACGCTATATGAAATAAGTTTTAGATTTGAAACGTTTTGTTTAAAGTAAAAGCTAACGCTCATATTGCCAAAGCTAAAGTGTCAAACGAAACTTTTTAATGCTTCCAAAAAATTCGTACCAAACACGTCCTACTAGTATCCGACTCTCAAGGGTTTGTTAGTTAAAAATCATTATCTTAGGCATGATCAAAAGTTCATACCATAAAATGGTTTATTGCACATATAATAACATAATGATTTTTTCGTTTCATTTAAAGATAATACGTAGTCTTCCAGAATTTTCCTTTGGGAATCTTAATAATAAGATTAGTATAGTTGTTACTAATATCATATTGATTTTTTTTTCCAAGAATGGCTTTTATATGTGTTTTCTAGAGTGTCATGCTTTAAAGATTTAAACTATAGGCCATGATGCTTGATTTTCAGGCATAGATGAAAAAGAAGGGGGGCTAGAAAATTAAGATTTGAAGTTCAAAGAGTTTATGACGTATAAATTTGAAGTTCAAAAGGCTTACTTGTTTTTTCAATGTCTAAGGGCCTGATAGATCACTTACATAAACTTTAGGGATGTGATTTTTGAAGGTCGGAAAAAAAAAATAGAAATTGCTTTGAAGGATAATATGTAAGTTCTTTTTTCGTAAAGAATAATATATTGATTTTTTTTCAGAGTTTTCCTTATTAAAATATTAATATATTGCTATGATTTGTTAATTTCACGTAAAAAGAAGGGGGACTAGGAAATTAAGATCGAAGTTCAAAAAGGCTATGATGTGTAAATTTGAAGTTCATATAGGCTAAGGGCCTTTTTGATCACTTACATAAACTTTAGGGACTGTAATTTTAAGGGTTGGAAAAACATGGAAATCAATGTTAAAGCATTTTGTCGTGTTCATCGTTGGTAGTTTAAAAAAACTTAACCAAATATAATAAATATAAATATTCGTGTCGTCTTGCTCAACTCTCATATGAATGAATCGTAAAATGTGTAACCCGTTTGATTATACGGGTTTGCAGGTTCATGGGTTAGATTCATGTTTGTGAGTCGGATATATATTTGTGGTTCACACGAAAGATGCCTAATTACAAATATTTTTTAGTTCTTATATTCTCCTTTGATAAGTTTGGTTACATTGCACCGGAAACGGTGAAACTTCTTAATAAATTATAACGGGTCATACATAATAATGATATATCCATTATATCTATGGATTCAAAAGAATTAGTTTTATCATACATAAAGGTTTAACGACGTAGTTTGTTATGTATTTGTCCTTTCACTTATTGTATTGTGATACCTAATTTTTATAAAAATAATAAAAATGAAAATTAGGTTTTGAAAAAAAAAAAAAAAAAGAGAGAGAGCTTATGACGTGTGAATTTGAAGTTCAAAGAGGCTATTTTTGTTGTTTTTCAAAGTATAAGGGCATGTTTGATCACTTATATAAACTGTAGGGGCTGTAATGGTTTTCAAAAAAGGCTGGTGAAAAACATAGAGAAATGGCTTCGCCCGGGTTCGAACCGGAGACCTTCAGTGTGTTAGACTGACGTGATAACCAACTACACCACGAAACCAGATGTGCTTATTGGTAGATTTAAAAATCATAACACAATTTTATGGTAAAATAACTTTCATTCCATTATCTTTTTGTATTATATGTTTTTATGTAGATTAATAAAATAATATTATATTATTCACTTCTGATATTTTACAAAATATAATAACATAATCTTACATTCATATATTAATAATGATTTTTTTTATTCTAGTTATAGTAATGTATCACAATCTCGTAACTATATATACATGATAACGTATTTATATTATCAAAACTGGACAAATATGTTCTTAAAAAAAATACTTTTTAAAGTAAAAAATAAAACAGATTTTTTGTTTATTAGTGGGTGTTGATGTTGATGGGTTTTTTTTAAACAACCGTATTATTAAGGATATCACATTCTAGTATGCAAGTAGGCGAAAAACCAAGTTTTTTAAATAACGTAAAGCGTGATTTGACAGCAATGTCAAGCCTCAAAGACGAGCCGTGTCATTTGTAATGCGTGACTTAAGGCGATAATTTTGTATATAATTAATATTTTTATATGTATTTTCAACTATTATTTATTTTTATACATATATGAGTTAATGCGACATTTAGATAAAGTTTGGCCGTATGTACAAACCTTGAAACCATGATGCGTTATGATGAGGTCTTTGGAACATTGCAAAAAACCAATTAAAATATTGTTTAAGGGGTGTTTCGACCAATTAACACAATTTAAAAAATATTAACTATTTTCATTGCCAAAACCAAAGAAAAAAAAAATCCCTAATCGAATAAAAAATAACATCCTTCCTTATTTTCATCAACAAAAAAATTATCATTTCTGAAATGCTATAAGTACCATATCATGGTACACGCCACCACATCAATAACCATCTCTTTTACCAACAGAAGCGAGAACATCAATTGAATCAAAAAGGCCTTGTATCGAATCATAAGTTGTAGGTCTAACATCCACCCCTTTGAACATCTGTAACACCCATAAAAATCATGTAAATTTAAAACTTTTTCAATCATTTAAAATCAATAATTATTAAAAATTGTTTTCAAAATGATTCCATGTAAGAGTATCTCATAATCAAATCATAAAAATATAAGGGGGTGCACGATCACGCCTTCGCCTTCTCGTGATCAACAAAGTACCTGAAACATAATCAACAATTGTAAGCCCAAAGCTTAGTGAGTTCCCCAAAATAACAATGCCATACAATCATAATCATATCATAGCAAATAAACAACATGCATATTGAGCCATCAGCCTGATTGGACCGCCTCGTAGGGCCATCAGCTTATCTGGACCGCTCTCCGAGCTATCGACACGTCTGGACCGCCTAGTGGGCCTTCAGCCTATCCGAACGGCTCATCGGGCCTTTGGCTTGACTAGTATACTGTAACTGGGTCTGCAGTATATCCGTTCTGCCCTGGGTATGTTGGCACAAGCACAAAGCATGACCGCCTCAACCCAACCACCAATCAAACAATCATGTGCACATAAATATCATACGCTAGCTAGCATGTATAGATATTCATACAGATCTAACAGATTACTAACATAACTGTTGGATTAATATCTAAGTTCATAACTATAATTGGTAAGACTTGACCCACCCGCCATGGTCCATTTGGGTTGCATGGCATTGGGACAATTGGATAGGCAAGTGAGGAAAAAGGATACTAGTGATTTATATTAATATATTATAAGTTCTAATATATTAATATATAATCATATTATTTAATTAGTATTGATCAAGAATTAATTTATAATTAATTAAGTGATCAAAAGGAACTAATTAAATATAGACTCTCAGATATATATATATATATATATATATATATATGTGTGTGTGTGTGTGTGTGTGTGATGGGCCAAGTTCATTTAGGTTGGGCTAAGCTTTCATGGATAGTCCATGGAGTGTTTAACCTATGGATCATATGAAATGAAGGGTCATGGGTTTAACCCTAATCCCCACACTATATAAAGACGTCATTGGTTGGTGAAATGGGCACTAGTGTGTGTATACAAAAGGGCAAGGCCGATTTCACTAGAGAGAACCAAAGTATCCTTAT